ATAACTAATCTGCCTCTCTCCATCACCGCTCCGCTTCAAACGCTAAACATTCCCCCAACGTTTCCCTTACATTCTCTGAACATTTGCCTTGGCATTATCTTAATATTTTCCAGATTAAAAAACGAGCATCTCTTTATGTCACTCTTCATAACCCATCCAGTGGAGTTTAATTATCATTGACTGTTTGCTGAGTAGAGACTGATATTAATGTGTGTTCAATGTTTTTCATAAAATACCCCTCAAACAAAATGAAATGTTTCACCATATGGGTATGGGACTGAAATTGGAATACTGTATGTTAGTGTTGACTTCATGTGAATGGCACAATTTCCCTTGTATACTTTAGTAGGGATGATGATTCCTACAGGTGGTTACAGTGTGTGTGTGTGTGTATGTGTGTGTGTGTGTGTGTCTATCTGTATGCTCAATGTTTCCCTGTGTGTGTGTGTGTGTGTGTGTATGCATGCGTGCGTGGTCAAGTAAATCATACTGATGTTGTCAATCATGTTGAGACCCACAAATAACCCCTCCTTTCTATTTACGTTGCCTAGGTGACGCCGGAGCAGCTGGTGTTGCTGTTGGAGCTTCTGCTGGAGGAGGCGGAGCTAAGTGTGACATCACTGCGTAGGATCCAGAGAACCTACGATCTACAGAAGCAGGATGCTGAGGTAAGACTGCACACTCAAATGTATATAGTATGTATAAGCTGGACGCAGCAGCCTAAGTATTGTTGTCCATTAGTTTACTCCAATTAGGGGAGGGATGATAGGGTTAGGGGAAAATAATAAAGAAGGAAAATATATTACAAAATATATATATTTAAAATAATATACACTACCAGTCAAAAGTTTGGACACACCGACTTATTCAAGGGTTTTTCTTTATTTGTACTATTTTTTTTACATTGTAGAATAATAGTGAAGACATCAAAACTATGAAATAACACATCATGTAGTAACCAAAAAAGTGTTAAACAAATCAAAATATATTTTATATTTGAGATTCTTCAAATAGCCACCCTTTGCCTTGATGACAGCTTTGCACACTCATGTCCAAGATGGCGTAGCAGTGCGGTCGTGGTTTTATTCATTGTCCTAGTGTAAATATCCCGTTTCTTGTTTTTTGTTGTTGTCTATTTTGTATATATTTCTCAATTTTACTTTTCATTCTTTAACTAAATATACTTTCCTGCAACCCGCCTCACCCAACGTGGAAAGGATTCTATTATTTCTTTATAACTTTCGTCAAGAACCTTAAGCTGAAACTAGTGTAGCTGCAACTGAATGGCTACTTGCTATTAGTCACCGTTAGCATCTTCACCATTGTCCGTGGCCTACACTATCCACCAGCCAGCTCTAGCTCTAGCCTGGACAATTCGTCGGCCAGTCTGCACAGCGTGCTATCGACCCAGAGCTTATCAGACTTTCTGCCGGAATCCCTGGACCCTAGCGCCGGATCATCGCAACCAGCTAGCTAGCTGCAACCTGTTGTTGGCTAATTACCATTGCCCCATAGCAAGCACCAGTTAGCCTTGAGCTAGCCTCAGGCCCATCTCCCAGCTACCTCTCTGTCAACCGGACGGGACCTCCTAGTGTTGACACTGAGCCCCGCCGATCCAACACGACTGGTTTGCCGGCGAAATCGTCTGATGTGGTTTCAACAGGCTTCCCGTTGCGACGACCACGAAGATCCATCTGCTAGCCCCGGCCCGCTAGCACACGCAAACTACAACTGTGCTCCCTGCTAGCTGTGCTGAAGCACCAATTTGAACTGCTCTCGGACTCACATATTGCTGTTCACTGGACCTTAAGATCACTCAGCTGCACAGCTGATGCCTGCTGGACTGTTCCTTTACACGGTACCCTGTCCTGTTTATTCTGTTTAGCCTCAGCCCAAACTTTATCGCTATTACCAGTTGTTGTCTTAGCTCTCTCTAATAACACCTGTGATTGCTTTATGCCTCTCTCCCTTGTCAATATGCCTTGCCTATTGCTGTTTGGGTTAGTTATTATTATACAATTTCACTGTAGAACCCCTAGTCCCTCTCAAACTGCCTCAAATAGTTCCTTTGTTCCACCCCCCATACACGCCGAGACCGACTCAATCGGTGCCTCCAGTGATGCTATCTCTTTCATTGTTACCCAACGCTTAGGTTTACCTCAACTGTACTCATATCCTTCCATATCCTTTTCTGTACATAATGCCCTGAATCTTTTCTACAACGCCCGGAGAACTGCTCCCTTTATTCTATGTACCCAACGCACTAGAAGACCAGTTCTTAAAGCCTTTAGTTGTATCCTTATTCTAGTCCTCCTCTGTTCCTCTGGTGATGTAGAGGCTAACCCAGGCCCTGCAGCCCCCAGTATCACTCCTACTCCCCAGGAGCTATCATTTGTTGACTTCTGTAACTGTAAAAGCCTTGGTTTTCTGCACGTTAACATCAGAAGCCTCCTTCCTAAATTTGAGTTATTCACTGCATTAGCACACTCCGCCAACCCTGATGTTCTAGCAGTGTCTGAATCCTGGTTTAGGAAGGCCACCAAAAATTCTGAAATTTCCATCCCCAACTATAACATTTTCCGTCTAGATAGAACTGCCAAAGGGGGTGGAGTTGCAATCTACTGTAGAGATAGCCTGCAGAGCTCTATCATACTATCCAGGTCTGTGCCCAAACAGTTTGAGCTTCTACTTCTAAAAATCCACCTTTCCAGAAATAAATCTCTCACTGTTGCCGCTTGCTACAGACCCCCCTCAGCCCCCAGCTGTGCCCTGGACACCATATGTGAATTGATTGTCCCCCATCTATCCTCAGAGTTCGTACTGCTTGGTGACCTAAATTGGGATATGCTTAACACCCCGGCCATCCTACAATCTAAACTAGATGCCCTCAATCTCACACAAATTATCAACGAACCTACCAGGTACAACCCTAAATCTGTAAACATGGGTACCCTCATAGATATCATCCTGACTAACTTACCCTCTAAATACACCTCCGCTGTCTTCAACCAGGATCTCAGCGATCACTGCCTTATTGCCTGCGTCCGTAACGGGTCCGCGGTCAAATGACCACCCCTCATCACTGTCAAACGCTCCCAAAAACACTTCAGCGAGCAGGCTTTCCTAATTGACCTGGCCCAGGTATCCTGGATAGATATAGATCTCATTCCGTCAGTAGAGGATGCCTGGTTGTTCTTTAAAAGTAATTTCCTCTCAATCTTAAATAAACATGCCCCATTCAAAAAATACAGAACTAAGAACAGATATAGCCCCTGGTTCTTCTCAGACTTGACTGCCCTTGACCAGCACAAAAACATCCTGTGGCGTACTGCATTAGCATCAAATAGCCCCCGCGATATGCAACTTTTCAGGGAAGTTAGGAACCAATATACACAAGCAGTTAGGAAAGCAAAGGCTAACTTTTTCAAACAGAAATTTGCATCCTGTAGCACTAACTCCAAAACGTTTTGGGACACTGTAAAGTCCATGGAGAATAAGAGCACTTCCTCCCAGCTGCCCACTGCACTGAGGCTAGGAAACGCTATCACCACCGATAAATCTACAATAATCGAGAATTTCAACAAGCATTTTGCTACGGCTGGCCATGCTTTCCATCTGGCTACCACTACCCCGGCCAACAGCTCTGCACCCTCCGCTGCAACTTGCCCATGCCCCCCCCGCTTCTCCTTCACACAAATCCAGACAGCTGATGTTCTGAAAGAGCTGCAAAATCTGGACCCCTACAAATCATCTGGGCTAGACAATCTGGACCCTTTCTTTCTAAAACTAGCCGCCGAAATTTTCGCAACCCCTATTACTAGCCTGTTCAACCTCTCTTTCGTAACGTCTGAGATCCCCAGAGATTGGAAAGCTGCCGCGGTCATCCCCCTCTTCAAAGGGGGTGACACTCTAGATCCAAACTGTTACAGACCCATATCCATCCTGCCCTGCCTTTCAAAAGTTTTTGAAAGCCAAGTTAACAAACAGATCACCGACCATTTCGAATCCCACCGTACCTTCTCCGCTATGCAATCCGGTTTCCGAGCTGGTCATGGGTGCACTTCAGCCACGCTCAAGGTCCTAAACGATATTATAACCGCGATTGATAATAGACAGTACTGTGCAGCCGTTTTCATTGACCTGGCCAAGGCTTTCGTCTCTGTCAACCACCGCATTCTTATTGGTAGACTAAATAGCCTTGGTTTCTCAAATGACTGCCTCGCCTGGTTCACCAACTACTTCTCAGATAGAGTTCAATGTGTCAAATCGGAGGGCCTGTTGTCTGGATCTATGGCAGTCTCTATGGGGGTGCCACATGGTTCAATTCTTGGGCCGACTCTTTTCTCTGTGTATATCAATGATGTCGCTCTTGCTGCTGGTGACTCTCAGATCCACCTCTACGCAGACGACACCATTTTGTATACATCTGGCCCTTCATTGGACACTGTGTTAACAAACCTCCAAACGAGCTTCAATGCCATACAACACTCCTTCAGTAGGCTCCAACTGCTCTTAAACACTAGTAAAACTAAATGCATGCTCTTCAACCGAACGCTGCTTGCACCCGCCCACCCGACTAGAATCACTACTCTCGACGGGTCTGACCTACATTTTTACATTTACATTTTAGTCATTTAGCAGACGCTCTTATCCAGAGCGACTTACAGGAGCAATTAGGGTTAAGTGCCTTGCTCAAGGGCACATTTACGTCATTTAGCAGAGCGACTTACAAATTGGTGCAATCACCCTATAGCCAGTGGGATAGCCACTTTACACTTTTTTTTTTTGGGGGGGGGGGGGGGGGGTAGAAGGATTACTTTATCCTATCCCAGGTGTTCCTTAAAGAGGTGGACAACTACAAATACCTAGGTGTCTGGTTAGACTGTAAACTCTCCTTCCAGACTCACATTAAGAATCTCCAATCCAAAGTTAAATCTAGAATCGGTTTCCTATTTCGCAACAAAGCCTCCTTCACTCATGCTGCCAAACATGCCCTCGTAAAACTGACTATCCTACCGATCCTTGACTTCGGCGATGTCATTTACAAAATAGCCTCCAACACTCTACTCAGCAAATTGGATGTAGTCTATCAACAAATTGGATGTAGCCCCATATACTACCCACCACTGTGACCTGTACGCTCTTGTTGGCTGGTCCTCACTACATATTCATCGCCAAACCCACTGGCTCCAGGCCATCTATAAATCACTGCTAGGCAAATCCCCGCCTTATCTTAGCTCATTGGTCACCATAGCAACACCCACCCGTAGTTTGCGCTCCAGCAGGTATATCTCACTGGTCATCCCCAAAGCCAACACCTCCTTTGGCCGCCATTCCTTCCAGTTCTCTGCTGCCAATGACTGGAACAAATTGCAAAAATCTCTGAAGCTGGAGACACTTTTCTCCCTCACTAACTTTAAGCATTAGTTGTCAGAGCACCTTACCGATCACTGCACCTGTACACAGCCCATCTGAAATTAGCCCGCCCAACTACCTCATCCCTATATTGTTATTTATTTTGCTCATTTGTACCCCAGTATCTCTATTTGCACATCATCTCTTGCACATCTATCATTCCAGTGTTAATACTAATTGTAATTATTTTGCACTATAGCCTATTTATTGCCTTACCTCCATAACTTGCTACATTTGCACACACTGTATATATATATATTTTTTTTTTCTGTTGTATTTTTGACTTTGTTTTGTTTTACCCCATATGTAACTCTGCGTTGTTGTTTTTATCGCACTGCTTTGCTTTATCTTGGCCAGGTCGCAGTTGTAAATGAGAACTTGTTCTCAACTGGCTTACCTGGTTAAATAAAGGAGAATTTTTAAAAAAAATCTTTTTATCTCAACCAGCTTCATGAGATAGTCACCTGGAATGCATTTCAATTAACAGGTGTGCCTTCTTAAAAGTTAATTTGTGGAATTTCTTTCCTTCTTAATGCGTTTGAACCAATCAGTTGTGTTGTGACAAGGTGGGGGGGGGGGGGGGGGGTATACAGCAGATAGCCCTATTTGGTAAAAGACCAAGTCCATATTATGGCAAGAACAGCTCAAATAAGCAAAGAGAAACAACAGTCCATCATTACTTTAAGACATGAAGGTCAACAGCTTCACTTGAAGTTTCTTCAAGTGCAGTCGCAAAAACCATCAAGCGCTATGATGAAACTGGCTCTCATGAGGGCCACCACAGGAATTGAAGACCCAGAGTTATCTCTGCTGCAGAGGATACGTTCATTAGAGTTACCAGCCTCAGAAACTGCAGCCCAAATAAATGCTTCATAGAGTTCATGTAACAGACACATCTCAACATCAACTGTTCAGAGGAGACTGTGTGAATCAGGCCTTCATGGTCAAATTGCTGCAAAGAAACCACTACTAAAGGACACCAATAAGAAGAAGAGACTTGCTTGGGCCAAGAAACACGAGCAATGGACATTAGACTGGTGGAAATGTGTCCTTAGGTCTGGAGTCCACATTTGAGATTTTTTGTTACAACCGCCGTGGCTTTGTGAGACGCAGTGTGGGTGAACGGATGATCTCCGCATGTGTATTTCCCACCGTAAAGCATGGAGGAGGAGGTGTTATGGTGTGGGGGTGCTTTGCTGGTGACAATGTCTGGGATTTATTTAGAATTCAAGGGACACTTAACCAGCATGGCTACCACAGCATTCTGCAGTGATACACCATCCCATCTGGTTTGGGCTTAGTTGGACTATCATTTGTTTTTCAACAGGATAATGACCCAACACACCTCCAGGCTGTGTAAGGGCTATTTTACCAAGAAGGAGAGTGATGGAGTGCTGCATCAGATGACCTGGCCTCCACAATCCCCCGACTTCAACCCAATTGAGATGATTTGGGATGAGTCGGACCGCAAAGTGAAGGAAAAGCAGCCAACAAGTACTCAGCATATGTGGGAACTCCTTCAAGATTGTTGGAAAAGCATTCCAGGTGAAGCTGGTTAAGAGAATGCCAAGAGTGTGCAAAGCTGTCATCAAGGCAAAGGGTGGCTATTTGAAGAATCTCATATATAACATATATTTTGATTTGTTTAACAGTTTTTTGGTTACTACATGATTCCATATGTGTTATTTCATAGTTTTGATGTCTTCACTATTATTCTACAATGTAGAAAAGAGTAAAAGTGAAGAAAAACCCTGGAATGAGTAGGTGTGTCCAAACGTTTGACTGGTACTGTATATATGCACAAAAATATATATATGGGGGATTGGAAATGATGCAGACAATTACATTGATGGAAGCCACAGTCTATCTGCAATATTAAAGTTGATCTACCCCTGCAAACACACACACACACACACACACACAAACAAACCTTAGTTTTAATTAGTTCTTCTCACCTCCCTTTGTGCAAATTCAAAATAGAAGCAGCTCTCCTCTTTATAGGCTTTAGTGTATAAAGGCCAGAAGCATAACCTTCGTGTTGTAGCACAGGGCTCACTTCAATAATAGCAGAATTATAGACTTACAATTTAATAGTGTTTATGCGTAGGATAAGGTATGGGTGGGAGTTATATGTGTGTGTGTGTGTGTGTGTAGGGGCTTTACTGTACTCTAGCATTAAGTGCAGCAGTCAGTGTAAGCACAGCTGCGATAACATTTACATTTTAGTCATTTAGCAGACGCTCTTATCCAGAGCGACTTACAGTTAGTGAGTGCATACATTTTCATACTGGCCCCCCGTGGGAAACGAACTCACAACCCTGGCGTTGCAAGCGCCATGCTCTACCAACTGAGCTGCAGGGGACTATAAGGCTGTAAACTGAGTTAAGCTGTCATTGACACATGCCCTGTCTTGAAAATAATTAGTTGATACATTTTTCTTATATGAAGCCATATGAATTACTGTATATGACCTTTTTGGAAGGAGAAATCATCAATCCTTTATGTGTAGCTCAGATGTTAGTTAATGTCCAGTAGGCATGCAGTAGGCTGTGAAATGATCAGTAAAGTATGTAGGCCTACATTATCAACACCATCACATTTTAGTTGAACTGAACTGAGCATATTTTGTTGGGACCTTAAGGCAGGAATTAAATTTTAATTAATTAATTAAATTAATTAATTAATTAATTAATTGGTCATTTAGCAGACGCTCTTATCCAGAGCGACTTACAGGAGCAATTAGGGTTAAGTGCCTTGCTCAAGGGCACATCGACAGATTTTTCACCTAGTCGGCTCGGGGATTAGAACCAGCGACCTTTCGGTTACTGGCACAACGCTCTTAACCACTAAGCTACCTGCCGACCAAATCACATTTTATTTGCTACATGCGCCGAGTACAACAGGTTGTAAACCTTACAGTGAAATGCTTACTTACAAGCCCTTAACCAATAATGCAGTTTTAAGAAAAAAATAGATAAGTAAAAAAAAAGAAAGAGCAGCAGTAAAATAAAAAGTTGCTCCGGCGTCCCCGTGCCATCACTTCTAAGAATCAATTGAGTGTAAGAATAGAAGACTGTAAAGGATGTGAGTGTACAGTATTGTCTGGCCTTCAGTGGTTCAATATGAGAAGGTCTCTGTCTAGGTCTCTATAGTCTGGCTGGGGGTAAGAGGCCAACAGAGATGTTCCTCTACAAATTCCAGGAAAAAAACGAAATGGTCCCTAAAAATAACCTGAGTTGTCACACAGACACATGTGCGTGTGTGTCCAGCCATTCCTCCAATGCTTTTTCTTTCTTTCCCTCCTACCTTTTCCACAAAATAAATGATCAATGTGTTTGAAAAGTTAAATAAATAAAGGCTAAGTGCAGCATCACTTCTCTCCTGATATGTTAGGTTAGCAGTGTTTACTTCATGGAGGTGTAGCTGGTAAAGTGTGGGAATTCATCACGCTTGAGGTTCTGTCTGTTATGGTTAGTGCTCTGTCCTTCCATTTGAATGGTGTAGAATGTGTGTGAGCATTTAATGTGGTGTGAAGGATAGCGTGCGAGCACTGGCTTCAATGCATGTGGGTCATTCCATGTCATTTCAGCAAGCCATGACACCCACCATCTCTGATTGTTCTGAAATCGTTTCTGTAGTTAGAAACAGATAAGATTAGCATTCCTGCAACATAATTTTTTTGAAATACAATTTGATCTTTGAGAAATTAAGCTAATTGATTGCACCCAAATTGGCCATTTTTATTTATAGGATTCTGATAATATTCAATAAATATAGTACCTAACATCCGATTATGACCAAACTTTTTTACTAACAATGAGTAAGACATGAGGAATCCAGAAAATGGTCAAAGCTACCCACGGATGTAGGATGCGACATAAACCTAACAACTTCAATGACTCATTTCTCTGAACAGGGGAAAAAACATCACCAAATACACTGAGAATACATTACATAGTGTGAAGAAACAATACTCAGAGCCGCAGCTCCATACTACTTGTCAAACATAAAGAACTGATACTATATACTCGTTGTTGGGGTGGGATTGGTGTGGGGGGTCCATGGGTGGCTTTTGACCATTTCTTTGAATTTCTTGTAACTCATTGTTACAAAAAAAGCTTGGTCCAAATCAGATGTTAGGTACTATAAACGAAAATGGCCAATTTGGGAGCAATCAATTAGCTTAATTTCTCAGAGATCTAATTATATTTCAACAAAATAATGTTGCAAGAATGCTAATCTTATCTGTTTGTAACTACAGAAACGATTTCAGAACAATCTGAGATGGTGGGTGTCGAAATCCTCTTGTGCTTTTTGAGGTGGAACGACCCATGTGTGTGTGTGACTGCATGTGGAAGTGTACTGTATGTGTGTGCCTACGGATGAGTATGTGTGTGCATGTATGAGAGTGAATGCGTGACTGTGGCTCGCTTCCTTTCATGTGTGTCTCGTGATGTGTGTTGGTGCCTATGCGTGTGTGTGTGTGTGGGCCATCAGTCGGTCAAACATACAGGGCACATTGTACAACAGAAGGCCTTAAAGCCCACGCTAGGTTGAAGGGTCCTATCAGAGAGGAAAGGAGTCTGTTACGCCAAACCACACCAAAGACACTCCTCATGTGTAGAAGGAGAGCAGGGGGAGGATGAGAGAGAGAAAGACAGAGACAGACAGACAGACAGACAGACAGAGAACTGCAGGGTAGGCGTCTGCATTTCATAAAGATGTTTTTCTCTGTTTTAAAAGGATTCAGACATACAGTAACCTTTACCACACTGTAACGGAAAACTGTAATTTCTTAACTAATTTTGGATATTATCAACAGTAAAATACTGTGAAACGTTTTACTACAGTATACTGTAAATGATGGTGCATTGTGCTAAAATTGTGTGGGCGGGGAAATAATTGCTGTATTTTGAATGGTACAGTTATTCCATCCCATAGAATACAGTGCCGTACCGTATTTTTGGAGCGCCAAAAACCTTTTGACCACTAGTGGGTGCATGGTATTGTTGGCGTGCCTTGTAAGAGGCTATACTTGTTGCACCCATTAGTAAGAGTGCTGTACCAATTTAATTCATATGTGGTTCCACATCAATTTAAAATGTATAGGGGACAGACTGGAGTGGCAGCAAGTCTTAAACCTTAATGGTTGAGCATTTTGCCATGTCCTTTTGGTCTGTTTTGTTCTGTAGTTGCTGCCAGTTTGGAAGCCTTTGTTAAGGCCTTTGGGAATGGAGTGATATAAAACATTAAATATTCATTGATATGCTGTGATATGTAAACACATTACCTAGCAGCCAACCTGCTTGCACCAATCCCCTGTAATTACAATAAAAAGACTTTGAAATACAAACCCCACTCCCCTCAATGAATTTATTTAATTAATCCATTCATTAATTCATTACGATTACGGTAGCATTTACTTTTTTACTGTATAATACAGTCAATTCTACTGTATTGTACTGTGTGTCATTACGCAGTACTTGCTTTGATACTGTATTTAGATTACAGTAGATGTGCTGCAATATGAAATACAGTAAATTACTTGCCAATTAGCTGCCTGTAAGTTACTGTCAAATTCACAGCAACCCCTTTACAGTGCAGGGAAGGAACATGATCAGCAAATTTAGGCCAACGTATTGTAATTAATGTGTGTATCTGTTTGAATGCCCTCCAGGCCACCCTGCTCTGCTGCCGTGCGTAGCCCCAGCAGCTGCTCTCTGTGCTGGATTGCATTCCTGGGGAGAGCCCTGGGGGCAGCCTGGTGCCCCTCTCACTCCCTTCTTACCCCCCTCACTGGGCCTCGCTCTCTCTCTGAGGGGAGACGCACCAATTACACCACACACATAGCCAGGATGTCACGAGCAGGACTGATTGATTGCAAAAATGGGAGAGAGAGAGAGAGAGAGAGAACGTCAAGACACGAAAGAGGTTGGGATCTGAAAAAGAGAATGCTGCCGGATCTATTGAAAGAGCATAGTGAAAACAAGAGAGAGAAAATAGCTGAGAGAGGGAAAGAGAGAAATAAAGCACTGAAATGGCAGTAAGTGATGTGGTATTACTAGGGTTGCAAAATTCCTGGAACTTTCAATACATTCCCTGCTTTTCCTAAAATCCTGGTTTATAGGCTGAAGAGGTAAAGGGTGCGTTCAGAGACACTGTTATCAAAGGAGCATTACCCAGCTCTGTTTCTCACGCCCCCACACGCAGGTGGAAGGGAAAACCGAGTGTGTGTGTGTGTGTGTGTCTGTGAATACATCTGTGTATGCAAGACATAAGAAGAAAAATAATCCTCAGTATTGCTGCTTCCATCTAGGTGAATGTATCGTCCAGGAGAGAAAAAACACCCCCTCATAGCATGAAATCACAAATCACTCCCATCACGAGGCTAGTAGAATAACAACATAAGGCTAGAACACACACACACACACACACACACACACACACACACACACACACACACACACACACACACACACACACACACACACACACACACACACACACACAGGGAGAGGATGAGGAGGGATGATGATGGAGGCATGGACAGAGCCAGTCTCTGATCTCTCCAGTCACCGTGGTAACTGAGCTCCCATTGATCCTCTGGGAGAAAGGCCAGGCACCATCCTACACACATGCAGAGAGAGTGAGTGTGTGTGAATGAGAGAGAGGGAGAGCTTGCTGGCCTAAAATGTTTTGTATGGCTCTTCCATGAGCTCTTCCAATATGTGTGTTTCAGGTGAGGCATCGCTGGTGTGAGCTGGTGGTCAAACACAAATATGCTCAGGCTTATGGAGATGTGGAGCACTTCCTCATACACGACCAGGTAACACTCACACACACACTGTCTCTCTCTCACACAACACAGACTTGTGCAAAAGCATGTTGTGGGTGTGTATCTGTATGTTAGGCTGATTGTATTTGTTTGTGTGTTGTCTCTCCAGGCCATGGGTGTGTATCTGTACGGGGAGCTGATGGTTCAAGAGGACTCTAGGCAACAGGCTCTGGCCAGGCGTTGCCTCTCATTGGTCCAGAACGAAATGGACCAATCAGCTCGCAGAGTGGTAGAGGAGATGGTCCTATGAGGTTGCACACAACAGGTACTGACCCAACCAGCTGAGCCGTCTCATAATTATAGGTTCCATATGTTTCTGAACATTATTATGTTAAAAGTGATAATGGTCCCTTCTTGATTATGCCCTGCCTAAAGTGAGATCATATTGCTTTGAAACTATTTTGTATTATCTCTAGCCTCAATATAGTAGATAGTGGGCAGACATATACTTCCTCTTCAGTGCTATGTTTTCTCTAGCTCCTCTGCCACGTTTAGATGTGTGTAATGGGTCTTGTTTCGGAGTCCTACTGTAAAAGGACTCTTTGTTTTTGGGTGTAGTGACTTGGCCACCTCTCTCACACATTCCTCCTTGAGCTCTCTCTCTGTGTGTGTGTGTGTGTGTGTGTGTGTGTGTGTGTGTGTGTGTGTGTGTGTGTGTGTGTGTGTGTGTGTGTGTGTGTGTGTGTATGTGTATGAGAGCTCGGAACGCTGCCTTTTCTGTGGTTTCTCAGGAGCGCCGTCAGGATGTGTTTGTCAGGGCAGGAATTTGGGAATGTATTCCTCAAACAAATAGACAGCAGAGGAGGAGAGAGAGAGGACTGTGTCTCCGGTTAGCCCTGTGCAGTTCTTTACAGTGTTTACCCTGAAATTCCTCTGTGTGTATGTGTGTGTTGCGTGTGTGTGTAACCGCACTGTCACCCACTGGGAGGGAAGGTGGTCTCAGGCTTCTCAAAACAGCAAGGGTTTTATTTGTTTCTTCCCTCCCAACGAGGAGAAGAGAGATTTATGATTCAGAGAGAGGGGGAGAAGGAGTGAGGACTGGTCTCTTTAAAGGAGTACAGCAATAACAGGAACACTATAACTTTTCCTAAGAAAGCATGTGCCATTCAGGCTACCTAGCCTACTTCCAAATCATGTCCAATCAATTGAATTTACCACAAGTGGACTCCAATCAAGTTGTAGAAACATCTCTAGGATGATCAATGGAAACAGGATGCACCTGAGCTCAATTTCGAGTCTCATAGCAAAGGGTCTGAATACTTATGTAAATAAGGTATTTCTGCAAACATTTCTAAAAACCTATTTTTGCTTTGTCATTATGGGGTATTGTGTGTAGATTGATGACGGGAAAAAAACAATTTAATCCATTTTAGAATAAGGCTGTAACGTAACTAGGGGTCTGAATACTTTCCGAATGCACTGTATATTTGAGAAGGCGGTTATTTTCGGAGGTGCTGCTAAATACTTGTCCAGATCAAGCAGAGAGACATACAGGCCTCACCACACAGATAGATAAATCCTTTATCAAGCCGTCGCCAAGCAAGAGCAAAACGGGAAGTGTCCACACACACACTGAGGACAGCTTTATGTGTGTGCAGAGGGGAGGAGAAAGGCTTTCCAGGCGAGTGCTCTGTCTGTCTACTCTGACAAATCACTTTACACGCACGTACACACACTCTGCTGGGGCCACAGTCCGTCAGCCTCCTGTCAGAGTGGCTCTCTGTCACTGTCCACAATAACATGTCTCTGTCTGTCAATAACAAGACTGCCAGTTCAAGCTTTCCTTCCTTCCTTCCCTCCCTCCCTTTCTCCTTTCTTCTCTTCCCCCTGTACATGCCTGTGGAATCCCTCCTGATCCGCTTAATGAGGGGCATATCGCCGGTGTAGCAGAGCGTAGCGAATGGTAGAAGAGGATAGAAGGAGAGAGAGAGCGAGAGAGCGAGAGAGAGAGAGAGAGAGAGAGAGAGAGAGAGAGAGAGAGAGAGAACGCCACAGGTTTGGCCTTTAATGGTTCCTGGTGGGACGATGCTGGAGAAAAGGGGAGAGACGGAGTGAGAGAAAGAGAGAGGGAGGATGAACAGGTCTCACCTTTAATGTCAGGATTCTGAGGGATCCTGGTACACTGACCTAGGGATATTGAGAAGAAAAGAGAGAGTGAGAGAAAAAGAGAAGAAGAGAGAGGAAAAGAAAGAGAGCGAGAGAGAACAAGAGTGAGAGAAAGCGGGAAAAGAAAGAGAGAGAGAGTATCCTGTCTGCTCTGGGAGGGTTCCTGGCGTGCTGATTTGTGACTTAAGATAAAATCACATTGCCAGGGATTACCACCCAGGCCAGACCCTGTCGGCTGCCATGACAACCAGAGGCTCCACCGCTCAGCCGCCTGCAAGAATAAAGTCAAATAAGACATGATGATCTGACAGGGTGTGTGATGCGAGGCCCCATGTACGGGAGAGGGGCAAACTTTTTGATCACGTGTGTCTATGTGGGTGTCCATGTGCAGCACAGTGCATGGTGTGTCTGTGTGTCCACCAGCCAGTCAGGCAGAGTGACCTCTCTCCCACCAGGTACAGAGCTTAGCTGATTGGTGAACAGTGATTGATCTCCTTTGTTCACAGTGGCTAAGTTCTGCACCTAAGGAGAGAATGACGCACAGAATTAGACAAAGAAAGAGAGAAAAATGGAGAGAGAGGTGGAATGAGAGGATGAGTTGGCACTATTTCCCTCCTCCTCCAATGTGTAAACCATATGAACAGTGTTGCATGCAAGAGAAATTCCTCTCTCCTGTCTCTGAAGATACCCTAGACTGGAGTGGAGATGTACAGTAGGGATTCAGTAGTGAGTGAGTGTGTGTCTGTGTGTCTGTGTTCCACGGGAGTTTGATGTGCTGCAGTTACTAATAAGCCTAGCGTTATGCTCTCCTGCCCATTCGGTCTCTCTCTTGTCATCCTCTCTTTCTCACTCCTTCATTGTCTCTGTGATCTCGCTCTCTCTCTCTGGGTAGACTGGTGATGGGGAGGGATGTAGGACACAGGAGACGGTGCTAATGAAAAGGAGGAGACAGGCTTTGCTAATGCTGCTGCTCAGTGCTCAGTGAGCCACTTTGACAATTGGCCCTGGAGGACAGTCTTCTTCCACTTCCTTACCTTCCTCTTCCTCCTCCTTTTCGTTGTCCTCTTATTTTCAAACTCCAGCAGCACTAACAAATATGTTCAAGTCCAATTTGGTACAGCAGTATATCTATGGTGGATCTTTGCCATAAGAACTACCTGATCGCTCAATGCCATCTCTTCTTTGAGCGTGCGATCCAGTACAGGGCATTGTATGGAAACGAAAATACATCTGTAGATGTTGAACAAGCTCAGACAGTAACTAATCAATGGCCCCGGATTCAATCAAAGGCGTGTTGTCGTCAAGAGCATTGCACTTGACTTTTAAAGGTAATTATGCTCAAGCTGACATTCGCAGAATGTCAGGAAAATTGTGGCCAATGCTTTGTGCTGCTCTGTAACGCGCTTTTGATTACAACCGGACCAATGGATCGGAATGAACATACTGGACTGGAAAGGTAATTGTGGTGCGGTCGGTGGCAGGATGGGAAGCGGTCGGAGAGCTGGTATAGCACTATGGTCTTTTCTTTCTCTAACAAAATGGCCACTGTAAGCGAGGACAGATGTGTGAATTAGAAATGAGGTCCATGTGGAGCCTGACTGTAAAATACTATATTTAGGGCCTGTTATAAGAGTAATGACTATCAAAGGCCTCTAAAAGAGAGGAATTACCATCGGAGACGATATCTAAAGCCTGATTTATTATAGCCTAATGGAAGGGAAATGGGCTTGCACATCAAAGCACGATGAAAACGTATAGAAAGGACATGTAAACCTAAACTTTTTTCTCTAATGCCAGAAGTCAACCTAATTTTGTTCACTTTAATATCCTAAGTAAACTAAAATATTTTTATAAGCTTATTGTGAGGTGCCATATTCCTGGTGTGGGACTAACTGTTTTCCCAGCTAGGCTCCAGCACCTCTGACTTGCTATTGGTGTTTTAATATGGAGTTGAATGCATTAATGGAGCTCTGAGTAAATCAGAGCCATGTTAGTCTTACAGCCACCTGTTCTTACTTAACCCCTTTTAGTGAGATGTACTGTTGCATTGTTGATGATAATAGGCCCTCAATTCATATTGGAACATTGTGAAAGAGACTTGCCTCCCAGAGATACAGGTGTGTCTCTGCAACAAAGACCAAAGGCAACATTTAATTACAAAATGTTGAAGAAGAAGAGAGAGAGGACTAGTCTAGGACTGTGCCTCCTGTGCCTACTGAGCTGATAACAGTACAACTGAATGACTGGCTCAGTTCAGCAGGAACAGGAGTCCAGCCCATTCCAACACACCACCAGACATACAGAAAGCCATCGGCATCATCCTCCAGCCCTGAAGAGCTACGAAACAACACACCTGACTGATACCCTCAGTTATACATTTACATTTTAGTCATTTAGCAGACGCTCTTATCCAGAGCGACTTACATGAGCAATTAGGGTTAAGTGCCTTGCTCAGGGATTAGAACCAGCGACCTTTCGGTTACTGGCACAACACTCTTACCCACTAAGCTAACTGCTGCCCCGTTATGCATACCAAATGCCACCCTATTCCCTATTTAGTACACTGCTTTTGACCAGAGCACATTCCCTATATACAGTGCATTCGGGAAGTATTCAGACCCCTTCCTTTCCACATTTTGTTACGTTACAGCCTTATTTTAAAATTGATTAAAAAAACTCAAATCTACACACAATACCCCATAATGACAAACTAAAAACAGGCTTTCAGAATGTTTTGCAAATGTATTTAAAATATACCTTATTTACATAAGTATTCAGACGCTTTGCTATGAGACTCGAAATTGAGCTCAGGTGCATCCTGTTTCCATTGATCATCCTTGAGATGTTTCTACAACTTGATTGGAGTCCACCTGTGGTAAATATAATTGATTGGACATGATTTTGAAGGGCACACACCTGTCTATATAAGGTCCCACAGTTGACAGTGCATGTCAGAGCAAAGACTAAGCCATGAGGTCGAAGGAAGTCCATAGAGGATTGTGTCGAGGCACAGATCTGGGGAAGGGTACCCAAAAAAAATATCCAGCATTGAAGGTCCCCAAGAACACAGTGGCCTCCATCATTCTTAAAATGGAAGAAGTTTGGAACCACCAAGACTTTCTAGAGCTGGCCGCCCGGCCAAAC